ACACTTCAGGGCTAGCTCTAGGCACAGCACCTAGGTCTGTGAGGCAGGCATGGACGGCCAATGGCGCTTAGAACTTACACAGAGAGAATAAAGACACCCTGTAAGGACTTGAGGACTGACAGGATGTGTCATCTCTTAGACCGTGACCTCTCAACACCCCCAGGGCCTTCTCAAAACCCCCACCCCGAGGGGTGTCAACAGACCAAGGAACAACAGGGACACCCTCTCCCCCACCCCTCTATACCCACAACACCCAGGAGCACATCTCACTCACCCCTGCTACCCTGGCCCTCTCCATCCCTCCCAGAGGTCCACAGGGATCTGCAGTCCCCACCCCCTCACCTCTGAATTGAATGTGAAAAACAAAATAATGACTTTGTTATGAAACAAACAAATAAATTTTCAAAATCTTTTTGAAAGATACAAATACAACAACACCAAGGCAAAGGATTTTCCTCAGCAGGGCCGGGCATTAGAAGCCAAGCTGGTAAAGCTTCTATCACCTTACCTACAGCACAGAAAACCACAACTCGGACAGCACAGGGCCTGGCTGGGTCCGCCAGAGCCCTGGCAAGGTCTTGGCCCGCAGCCTGGTCTCTCCTGGGACTTGTACTTGGGGAGGGAGCCTGCAGGCCATGTTTTTGAAGAACAACCCTTCAGAGATGAGGCTCTGTGAGGGAAGTCTCATCCTGGCAGGAGAGGCAACGGGTCCCCTCAAGAACTCATGGTCCCACTTCTGAGTCCACTTCACAGCAACCATCCCCAGGGACCCAAGAGGATATGGCGAAGGTGGACCAGGATGGTGGGCATGGCAGCAAAGATGACTGACGTGCAAGGTGGAGCTGCACATCCTTGGCTCTCTGTACCCAAAGAAGCAACGAATCAGACCCACATACAGCATCAGGAAGACACCCCCAAAAACATGGCCTAAAAAAAAAGCAGGTCCAGCACAGTAGCCTAGTGGCTAGAGTCCTCATCCTTCATGCACCGAGATCCCATATGGCCACCGGTTTATGTCCCAGCTGCTCCACTTCCCATCCAGCTCCCTGCTTGTGGCCTGGGAAAGCAGTAGAGGAGGCCCAAAGCCTTGGGACCCTGCACCCACATGTGGGAGACCTAGAAGCTCTGGCTCCTGGCTTCAGATCAGCTCAGCTCTGGCCACTGCGGCCACTTGAACCTGCAAATAGAAGATCTTTCTCTCTCTCCTTCTCTTTATAAATCTGACTTTCCAATAAAAATAAATAAATCTTAAAAAAAAAAAAAAAGGCAGCTGGGCTGAGGGGGCCAGCGAGCACCTGTGAGGACTGAGGCTGAAGCAGAGCAAGCAGCACAGACTGCTTCTTCCCTAGCGGGCAAAGGGAGCGGTGACTCAGCCGGGCAAGGACCTGAAGGGAGCTAGGTCCACCCCAGAGGGGAAGTGAAAGAGCACCAGAGCGGAGGAAGACAGGAGGAGCAGGAAGGGAGGGAAACGGAGAGACAAGTCAGGCAGGCAGCTCGTCCAGGTCTCCCATTCCAACCGAAGGAGCTGGGGTTTTATTATAATTGCAATGGGACCAGAAAAACTTCTTATAGATGTGTTTTATTTAGTTGGCAAGCAGACTTACAGAGAGAAATGACACCCAGAGAAATCTACCCTCTGACTCACTGCCTACACGGGCCTGCTCAGTGAGGGCCGGGTCAGGTTGGAGCCAGAAGTCAGGAACTCCCACCCAGGTCTCCCCTTTTCCACAGTGGCTGTGCCTGACACCCACATCCAGAAAAGCATTCTAAACAGAGCAAAGACACGATCTTGTTCCAATTTATTTCATTACACCGAGGACCATAGCAATACGCTTATGTGTTTTGGCAAAATTTGCAAAAGAAAACTGTTTGTATTCTTTTTAAGTACTTTGAAAACGGCATAAATTTCAGATCTCATATTACCCAGCTCCATCTCTGAATGTGGAACATCAGAGATACATCAAAAGATTCATGGAGGGCCCAGTAAGACAGCCTAGTGGCTAAAGTCCTCGCCCTGCACACTCTGGGATCTCATATGATCACCAGTTCGTGTCCCGGCTGCTCCACTTCCAGTCCAGCTCCCCGCCTGTGGCCTGGGGAGCAGTAGAAGATGACCCACGTGGGAGACCCAGAAGAAGCTCCTGGCTCCTAGCTTTGGATTGGCTCAACTCTGGACATTGAAGCCATTTGAGGAGTACACCAGCAAGTGGAAATCTGTCTGCCTCTCCTTCCTATGACTCTTTCAAATAAATAAATAATTTTTAAGAATTAGTGAAAAATGTAACTACAAGTATTTCTGTGCCCAAAATGTCCTCTAAAATCCATTCCTCATAGGAGTAAATTAGAGATAACCCCAAGGTACTGGAGAAAAGCAACCTTACCAGTACCGTACCAAGACGTCTGTGTTTTTCCCTCTTTAGCTCGCACTGACAGTGTTCAAAAGCATGCTCGGGCTCTGACCACAGAAATCCTGAGCAGCACAGAGAAGGGCCCAGAAACCCTCAGAGGGCTGAGATGTGGAGATGTGTGCTAGTGAGTGTGGGGGAGCAGTCCCAGTCTATCTCCAGCAGCCTACTCAAAGCTGCCTCCCATCATAACAGAGCGATGAGTCACGGAGGTGGGTGCAGATGGCATGGCAAACGCAGCTAAGGAGGGCGGCCGGTCCAGGAGCAAAAGCACCTTCACACACACCTCGGCCGCCACCACCCGAAACGGCAGTCCCACTTCCTGCAGCCCTCCCCGCCGTCACCCTAGAGAAGCAGCCAGGGACCAACACTCTCACAGGGCTGACCATGGACCAAGATCCCTTCAGCATCACAGCTACCCAAAGCCAGTTCTAGTAGGAATCTCATTTTTTGCACATGGAAAAACTAAAATGAACCCAGAAAAAGACTAAAACACTTACCCCAAGGGCTGGGGTTGTGGTGCAGCACATTAAGCAGCTTGGGATTCCCACATCCCACATCTAGAGTGCCTGGGACCAATTCCTGCCTCTGCTTCTGCCCCAGCTTCCTGCCAGGACACCTAGAACGGCAGTAAGTGAAGGCTTAAAGACGGGGACCCCTTCACCCACCCATGAAAGATCTGGAAGGAGCTCTTGGCTCCTGCCTTTAGCCTGGCCCAGCTCTGGCTGTTGAAGTGAACCAATAGATATTGCTCTGCCTTTCAAATAACTAAAATCTTAAAAACAAACAGAGCCCAGGGCAGTGGCCTAGTGACTAAAGTCCTCACCTTGCATGCCCTTCCAGCTCCCTGTTTATGGCCTGGGAAAGCAACAGAGAATCACCCAAGGTCTTGGGACCCTGCAGCCATGTGCGAGACTGAAAAAAACTCCTGGTTTCTGGCTTCAGATCAACTCAGCCCCAGCTGTTGCTTCCATTAAGGGAATGAATCGGAAGATGAAAGATCTTCTCTGTCTTTCCTCTCTATAAACCTATCTTTCAAACAGAAATAGATAAATCTTTAAGATATTTATTTATTGTTGGAGAGGGGTGAGAAAGAACAACAGATCTTGGATCACTCCCCCAAATGGCCACAGAAGCCAGAGCTGGGCAGCTGGGACAGGCTTCACGTGCTATCCCCCATCACCAGCCCCGGAGCCCAACTTTGTAATATCGCAGATCACCTCCCACTCCCGCTCAAATGCTTGTGCCACTAACTCCTGCTAGCTTCTTCTCCTCTCCTGCAGCTTTCTTAAAATCAAATTGCTCTTGCCCCTACCCCCTCCCCGGCCAATGACAGCCACTGTAACTTCCAAATCAAGCAGGGAAAAGGCTGATTGTGGGGTCCCGACACATGCTCAGAATGCAAGCGGCCCAAGCCTCATTCTGAAAACAGGGAGCACTACTGAGGGGATGGCTCACTAGACCCTAAAACTAAACAGGAGTGGGGGTTGCAAACACAGACGCACTTGTAGGAGACAACACCGTGGGAAACAGAGCCTGCAGTTCCCAAGGGGGACGGGGCTTAGCAGGAGGGTCTGCCGGGAGCCTGGCTGAGCTCACACCTATACAGGGATCAGCACCAAAGGCAACAAGTTTCCAAGTGCAAAAATCTAAGGGCATCAGGAGCCACACAGGGCAGAACAACCCTGCCTTCATCAGCTAAGCTTCCTTAAGTCTGCCGTGTGCAGGTCAAAGATCAAGACTCTGGGCCGGCACAGTGGCTCAACAGGCTAATCCTCTACCTTGTGGAGCCAGCAACACTTAAGGGAGCCAGTTCCCTTCCAGCTCCCCCAGTTGCCAGCTGCTCCAGTTCCCTTCCAGCTCCCCCTGCTTGTGGCCCAGGAAAGTAATAAAGGATGGCCCAAAGGTTTGGGATCTTGCACCCACGTGGAAAACCCAGAGGAATCTCCTGGCTTCGGATCGGCTCAGCTCCGGCCATTGTGGCCACTTGGGGAGTGAACCAGTGGATGGAAGATCTTTTAGTCTCTTCTCTCTGTAAATCTGCCTTCCCCATAAAAATAAATATGCAACCCCGTTCATGTCGTCTCCAAGATCCAAGAGAGGGAGTGATGGGAACCCAGAGCGGTCCCATCAAGCTGTTGCCTGGAGAGTTAATGAAATCAGTGGTCTGCGAGCAGAAACCGACGGGAGCCTGGACAGGTCTGAGCCCGCGTGGGGTGTCAGCCCAACCCAGTCTCAGATCTAAAGTGGAGGGTTCCTAGCGAAGTGAGCAAAAGCCATCGGGTTAGCAATACCGGCCAGGAGCCGGCTTGGGGAATGAATGAAGGGTCCCACAACGACAGGAAAGGCTTTGTATTTAGTTTTCCCTCGGAGCTAGACGGCGGAGCGCCCCCAGAATCAGCCGGGGAAAGCCCACGGGGCACTGCGGAGTCCGCCGGGGCCCCACAGGTGTCCGGCACGCAGGGGAGGACGCGCGGGCCCCCCGGGACAGCAGCCGGCGGAGCCTGGGGGGACGGGGGACACGCGGCTCCCGGCCGCGCCGTCCGTGCTTAGTCACCGAGCCCCGGCTGCCCGCGCCTGGCCCCCCGCACTCACTCGGCCGAGCTGGTGCCGTTCACCGCCGAGCCGTCGGGCGCGGGGTTCAGCTGGATGGGCGTCGGCTTCTTCTTGGGCATGTTGGAGCCGCTGCTTCCTCCCTCTGGCGGCGCGGGGCCGGGGTCCGTTTAGGGGTGAGCGGTCAGAGGGTAAGGGGGTCTCAGGGAGACCCCGGCCCGAACTCGCCCGGGAAGCTCAAGGGCCGCCCCGCCGGCGCGCGCGGCTCCGCAGCTCCCCGCTTCCGCCAAGCCAGCCCTGGACTCGGACGCACCCGCGGAGCCCCGAGCCACCCGCGCCCGGAAAGTGCAGCCGCCGCCACCGCCGCCGCGATCGGGCCGCTCCGCGCAGCCGCGCAGGGAGGGCGGCCGACGCCTGGCCACACGCCCGCCCGGCCCCGCCCCCGCCGCGCACGACAGCCAATGGCAGCCGAGCTGGACGGCAGATGACGCGGAAATGCGTCACGGGGCTCCAGGGCGCCCTCTGCTGCCGCGAGGCTCCAGGTGCACGCACCGGGAGGGGGCAGGGAAGGGTCCCAGGTGGGTGTCCTAGTGCTGGGGGCGCCGGGGGGCCAGGCCTAGGGGAACTGGACCTCCCCCAGTGGGCCGAGACGCGGTGATGGAGATGAAACAATAAGTCAGGAAGAAGACCCATCCTTGGGTCTCCCTACGAGGGGCAGCATGCGAGAATAAAAAACTATTCGGACTCTTGGCCCCAAACGGGCATACACATGTACAAGAGTTCGTTTGTTCTTACACTACTGACGGAACACAGGGAGATGGATGCTCAACGCTTATGAAACAGATCGGTGCAGGTTTTTTTTTTTTTTTTGAGAATTTATTTATTTTTATTGAAAGCTAAGATTTAAAGAGAGAAGAGACAGAAAGATTTTTCATCCACTGTTTTACTCCCCAAGCGGCCACAACAGCCAGAGCTGAGCCCATCCAAAGCCAGGAGCCAGGAGCTTCTTCCGGGTCTCCCATGCGGGTACAGGGTCCAAGGCTTTCTGCCATCCTCTGCCGCTTTCCCGGGCTACAAGCAGGGAGCTGGATGGGAAGTGGAACAGCAGGGATATAGGAAGCCAGCACTTGCATGGTAGAGAGTCAACCCATGGAGTGAGGCGCGGGCCCCAGGTGCAGTAGTTTTTGACAGTGAATGGATCAAGCTTTTACAACCTTAAAAACCTTTGCTTGATCCAAGAATTTCAGTTCTATGAAACTTGCTGTGGAAATAGCGAACTTAATGGCCACAGTCATCATTTAAAAATGTACAGTGTTCCTCCTCGCCATCTCCTTCCTTGGTAGTCACTCCTGAAGACATCAGGAGCGTGCAGAACCCAACAGGAGCACCTGCACCTGGCAGCCTGGAAGGCCAATGCCAACCCCAGGAGGGTGAATTGCTGGAGTCCGTGTAGTGGGTGTGGAAGACACAAAGGTGTAAGGAGAACTGTTCCACTGCAGGCAAGGCCACGAGGAATTTCCCGCTGCATGGTAAGGCCCGGCAGATGTCTCTGCATCCACCTGAAGGTAGTTCCACCTCCCTTTGCATGGACACCGGACAACCCCACTGAGATTTCTGTAATCTATTTAGGCATTGTCTGCCTCTGCGGAGTTAGTTTTTGTTATCAGTGTGAGCTGGGAAGTTGATGTTGCTGATAACGTGTTAGCAAAAAGACCTCTTACTATTTTTGCTGTCTCAGCTGCCCCCATTGACCATATGCTAATCAAGGGTGTTAAGTCACTAGGTGTTGTGGGAATCTATTCTTTCCCTCTTTCCTTGATCTTTAGGTCCCTCCCTCTGTGATTTCACTTCCTCCCTTAACTGATTCAAGACTAAGTTGTAGAATGAGGATTGTAGTAGGATTGCTGCTGATTGATATGTGCCATCTATTGAGAACCTCCTGACCACAAGATCAGGATGGCTGATATCCTGCCTCGAGGAGAAACAACTGGCAGAACTATCCTTAGGAATGTCTCTTTGACCGGGTGTGAAAAGTCTGTGCCAGCCTTTGTGACTGCTTCTGTATAAATAAAGTGGACATCTTTCTTGCATTGTCCATTATAATCCTGAAATTGTAGTGGTCCGTTTCTTTTCTAGGCCTATACATGCACCCTTCTCGAGTTCCGAACTCGGTTGGAGCTGGACTCTGGCAGTGAAGGCCTGCAGGCCAGGGAAGCAGCCCTCCCCAGGGTCTGCCAGGGAGGAACAGCCAGTTTACATGAGAGGGCAGTTGCATAGAGAACGACAGATAAAACAGCTAAATAAAGGAAACATTAATGAAGCTAGATGTCTCAGATTGGGAAAGCAGAAGACCTTGTGCTGTTGCATTGGAATGGGAGGTGTTAGTGTGAACACTCTGCACCCATTTGTCTAACAACGTTCATTGTGCATATTTGAAATTCATAATGTGATGTGAGGGATGCATATGGAGCGTCAAGCGGCCACTGAAATGAAACAACTTAACCTACCTCTAACATACTCTGTTCTGATGAGCAGCTAAGATTTCACCTAAAGGCAATCTGAAATACAACTCCATCCACTGTAACCTTTGTGTGGTGCAGCAGAGCTCCAGACTTTCTATCTTAGTTACTTTGTATCCTTTAACCGAGGCCTTCCCACTCCTTGGCCAGTCCCATAGCTGACAGTGTATAGGAACAGATATGAGGCCAGCATTGTGGTGCAGCAGGTAGCACTGAGGCACCACTGACATGCAGCACCCAGCTAGAATATTAGTAGGAGTCCCAGCTGCTCCACTTCCAATCCAGCTCCCTACTTACACACCTGGGAGAATGTGAAAGGTGGACCTCTGCACCCAAGTGGCAGAGCTGGATACAGTTTCAGGCTTCCAGCTTTCAGTTTGGTCTAACCCTGGCTGGTGTGGCCATCTGGAGGAATGAACCAGTAAATTAAAGGACCTGCCTCACTCTGTTCCTCTCTCTGTAACTCTGCCTTTCAAATAAATAAATACTTTAAAAATTTGAAAAAGGAATTGAGGAGTCTGCATGCATGTGTGCATAGCAGTGACTAATTTTATCTATACTAAATGCAAAATTGTTAGTATTAGGGGCCAGTGCCATGATGGAGCCAGTAAAGCTTCTACATACAGTGCTGGCATCACAGATTGGTGCTGGTTCAAGATCTTGCTGCTCAACTTCTCATGCAGCTCCCTGCTCATGTACGTGGAAAAAGCATTGGAGGACGGCCCTAGTGCTTGAGCCCCTTCTTCCCCATTGGAGACCCAGAAAGAAGTTCCTGGTTTTGGACAGGCCTGGCTCTCACTATTGTAGCCCATAGGGGTGAGCCAACAGACAGAAAACCTCTCTTTGTAACTCTGTCTTTCAAATAAATAAATACTTTTTCTAAAATGTCAGTATCAGGGCCAGGAGTGATAGCCTAGGGGCTAATGTCCTTGCCTTGCTCACACCTTCTGGGTGCCGGTCCATGTCCCAGCTGCTCCACTTCCCATTCAGCTCCCTGCTTGTGATCTAGGGAAAGCAATCAAGGACGGCCCAAAGCCTTGGGTTCCTGCACCCATGTCCCATGTGGGAGACCCAAAAGAAGCTCCTGGCTCCTGGCTTTGGATCAGCTCAGCACTGGCTGTTGCGGTCACTTTGGGAGTGAATCACCGGATGGAAGGTCTTTCTGTCTCTCCTTCTCTCTACATATCTGACTTTGTAATAAAAATCAACAAATCTTAAAAAAAAAAAAAGTTTGCTGGAAAGCAATCTGGATTTCAAGCATACTTACCCTGGGGCAGGCAGTGTGGGTGAGCCAGTGAAGCCACCCTTTTGGAATGCCCACATCCCATATCAGAGTGCCTGGTACAAGTCCTGGTACTTTGCTTCCCACCCAACTCCTGGAAAAGCATCAGAGAATGGAGCAAATACTGTAGTTCCTGCTACCTGTGTAGGAGACCCAGATCGAGTTCCAGGCACCCGACTTTAGCCCGTCCCAGCCCTGGCCATGGTGGCCATTTGGGGAGTGAATAATTGTCTTGCATGGGGCCAGGGCAGTGGCACAACAGGCTTAAGTGTTAGCTTGCAACACCAGCATCTCATAAGGGCAATGGTTTGAGCCCCAGCGATTTTTCTTCCTACCCGTTATTTGTGGAATTACCAAGACTCTCAGCATCTTCCTCATTGGAGAGACTCGGTGACTATTATGTAAACTCATCTCACCCATCTACTATCCGGCTAAATAGCAGAAACTTCGTAAATGATGATTGTCCTGGCAATTAGAGCACATACCTTCTACCTGTAACTAGGTAAGTGACCTTGGAGGACCCCTTTTAGCCCTCTGAGACTGAGTTTCCCCTTTGTAAAGCTGTGAGACTGGGCACTACAACTCTTATAACACAGCTCTAAACTCTTTTATTATTATTATTTTTTTTTAATTGGAAAGGCGGATATACAGAGAGGAGATACAGAGAGGAAGATCTTCCGTCCAATGATTCACTCCCCAAGTGAGCCGCAACGGTCGATACTATGCCGATCCGAAGCCAGGAGCCTCTTCCGGGTCTCCCACGCGGGTGCAGGGTCCCAAAGCTTTGGGCCGTCCTCGACTGCTTTCCCAGGCCACAGGCAGGGAGCTGGAAGGGAAGCGGGGCTGCTGGGATAGAACCGGCGCCCATATGGGATCCCGGGCGTGCAAGGCGAGGACTTAACCACTTGTGCCACGGCGCCGGGCCCAGCTCTAAACTCTTAAAATGAGAAGCCAGTGTCGTGTTGTAACAGGAAAAGCTGCCTGCTGAAACAGTAAAATCCCGTGTGGTCACCTGGTTTGTGTCCTGGTTGCTCCACGTCCCATCCATCTCCCTGCAGATGGCCCTCATATGTGGGTCCTTGCCACCCACATGGAAGACCTGGAAGAAGTTCCTAACTTCTTCTGACTTCGGTCTGGTCCAGCCTGGGCTATTGCGGTTAGCTGGGAAATGAATCAACAGATGGAAAATCTCTTCTTTCTGTGTCTTCCTCTCTGAGTAACTCTGGCTTTCCAATACTAAAGAGAAAAATTTAAAGAAAGAAACTCCTAAAATGAGCTCAACCTCTTACTCTGCAAAGGCAAAGCCTCATGTCAGGTGCAGTTCCCAGCTCTGCCTGTTCTGACAGAGCCTGGAGAGGAACAGGGTACATAGCTGTGTGTGTATGTGTGGCTGGGCAGTAATCCCTATGCAGTAGTGTTAGTGTTCTAATAACAGTCGGAGTATTTTATTTCACAGACGGCTGTACAATTACAGCATTGGGGCACCTGCTAGGGAAGAGATTCCATGATCCCTGGGCCCATGTAAAACTACAAAGCACATGGATGGACCCACAAT